TAGTTCTTTCCATAGATTTTCTATTGGATTCAAGTCAGGTGATTGGCTGGGTCATTCTAGCAGCTTTACTTTCTTTCTCTGAAACCAATTGAGAGTTTCCTTGGCTGTGTGTTTGGGATCATTGTCTTGCTAGAATGTCCACCCTTGTTTCATCTTCATCATCCTGGTAGATGGTGTAGAAGATTTTTATTAATCAAAATAAGAATGAATCAAGTTCAATCATTGTGAATATAGCCATTTATGTATCAAGCCTGTTTTGACATGAGACAAAAAAATATATGATGGAGCCTCTTCCTTTAACGTAACATAAACTGAGGCCTCCTGTCTGCTTGCAGGAAACAGATTGGACGCATAGCCAAAAAAAGGTGAACAATGACAGGATGTAGGAAATGTATAGAACACGCCTTAAAGTAAAAAACCTGTATAAAAGACTGTCCAGACACAGACTCGGGAGATTTTCTGCAGATTATCTCTAGACTGCATTATCTCTCTGATAATAAAAGTCTATTTTTCTGGCATCAAAACCTAAGTGTTCAAGAGTGATTCTTCGGAGAAAGGGCAAGAGCCACCACAATGACAGCAGATTTTTATCAAGAATGTCTCGGTACATTTTTCCATTACGGCGGTTGAGTGCATTAATTATTTTACTTATCTTTGAAACAATCGTACCCGCTAATTCCAGGTGATCCTTGACTCTTAGAAAACTCTTCTGATAATTTTTGTCACTGCTCTGTCAGAAATCTTGCGAGGAGCACCTGGTCGTGGCCTGTTTATAGTGAAATGATGTTCTTTCCACTTCCGGATTATGGCCCCAACAGTGCTCACTGGAACATTCAGGAGTATAGAAATCCTTCTGTAACCAATTCCATCAGTATGTTTTGCAACAATAAGGTTGTGAAGGTCTTGAGAGAGCTCTTTGCTTTTACCCATCATGAAATGTTTCTTGTGTGACACGTTGGCCATGAGACACCTTTTTATAAGCCATCAGTTGGGACTGAAGTGAGCCAGCTAATATTAATTTCCACTGACTAGGGCCAGGATTGCTTTCCAATTACTGATAGATTTCAGCTGGTGTCTTGGCTTTCCATGCCTTTTTGCACCTCCCTTTCTTCATGTGTTCAATACTTTTCCTCTGTCATTCTACTTTATTACACAGAACTTAATTTCTGAACTTATTTGTTTGGTTTTCTTTGTATGTATGGATTACTTGGATTCTTACTGACATCTGATGAAAATTTCATGCAAACAGCACCTTTAGAAATATATTTAGAGAAAAATGGTGATGAGTTTATATATATATTTTTTTTTTGTTTAAATGACGTTTGTCATGTTTTGGAACCAAACTCTTCATATACTGTATATAAAAATGTTGCTGAATTTAAAATAAAACCACAGAAATAAAACACTGAAAAAAAAAAAAGAGGCAAAATCAGCTTTTTATTATTAAAAAACTTGCTTCATATTTATTCTTTCATTGATTTCAATCTCTCGGTGTTGGAGGAAGAATACATAACTGTACAATATTGATATTATACATCAATAAATACTATGCATCATGTATCCATCTCGGAGTAAGATCAAAATGTCCCCCATGCGTGAGGGGAAATGAAATACCACAGAATTGCTCTCTTAGGAACAGTGAATTTCACTCTGTTTTTGGACTGTTGTTCGGTATTTCCTGTGCTGGAAAAATGAGCTTTTGTAGCATTTTAATCTTCTCTTCCTCAGTTTTAGAGTTGAGCTCAAGGACAGGAACCTAAACACATGAAATATATGAGGAATACTACTGAGAATGCAAAATGGAAAACCAGAAATTAAATGGTTGTCTCGGAGTAAGATCAAAATGTCCCCCATGCGTGAGGGGAAATGAAATACCACAGAATTGCTCTCTTAGGAACAGTGAATTTCACTCTGTTTTTGGACTGTTGTTCGGTATTTCCTGTGCTGGAAAAATGAGCTTTTGTAGCATTTTAATCTTCTCTTCCTCAGTTTTAGAGTTGAGCTCAAGGACAGGAACCTAAACACATGAAATATATGAGGAATACTACTGAGAATGCAAAATGGAAAACCAGAAATTAAATGGTTGGTTAAATCCCTCTTGTTGTTCATAACACCATAGTATTTCTATGATACATGACTAAAAAACAGTGTCACTTCTATACCAAAAATACTGCCCAAGTATCAGGTTTTGGTGGAATTAGTTAGTGTATATCTGAAGAATTGGGGGGTGGGGGGGGACTTACCAAAACAGGTTTATAACCAAGTTTTTCAAGATGGCGAAGTTTGATAACCAAGCTGGCTCGAGGATGTGTTGTACCAAAGCAAAATGAAGTATGTGGGGCGCAGACCACCGCAATCCTGAAACAAAAGGACAAAGAAGAGCTATTAAATATGTCTGCAAAACTACTTTCTAGCATTCGACATCTAGGTATGTGAGATCAGCATGGGATTCTTCATATAAACATCACAGCTGTTTTGTGTTGTTTTACCTTTGGGCACATTGAGGTGACCCAGAATCCTTTGCGCTGAGGCCACAGGTTTCTTCTGTTTGATGAGGCAGTGTAATCACACAGTCTAAAGCAAAGACAAGACAACATTTCAAACAATATGCACACGGTCTACTCCAACATGAAATGCCACAACGTATTTAACAGCCATAATGTGACATGTTTCTAAGTGAAACAAATTGTTCAGTGGGAAATGTAGGCAGGGATTTGATTGTATCCATCAGTCGCTTTGGATAAAAGCGTCTGCTAAATGACTAAAAGTAAAAGTAAAGTAAAGGTTTGATTATGCAAAATAAGGTATATTAGCTTATTAATTTATATGATAATTTTATTATATTAATATTATGCAATTAATATGTGCATTAAAAACCCACTTATTGTTTTATGATTTGTTAGTTATTATATAATTTTATAATTTATTTATAAGTTATGTATAATTTATATCTATTCTATTCTGTTTTATCAACATTTAATTGTTGATCATTCTTATTTGATTCTATTCTATTTTAAAACATTTACCATTTTATTAGAAACTATTTTCTTTTTCGATTTTCTTTTGGTTGCTTGTATTTTGTGTCCAGAACTTGTTTACGCTTGTAAAGTATTTTGCATTGTATTTGACATCTTAATGGTGCTAAAACTCAATTTTTTTTATTATGCAAAATAGAAGTTCTCATTTTTAACCTTTCGCGTATGAAGTCAATTGGACTTGGAAATGCTTGCTTGAGATTGATTTTTTTCCATCACTTGTAAAATACTTTAAATTGCATTGGGTTTGTTTGAAAGGTGCTATATAAATAAAGTTTGATTGTTTGATTAATATAATACTATTAAATTATGAAGGAGTAATGATGCTGAAAATTCAGCTTTGTCATCTCAGGAATAAATTCCATTTCAAAACATTTTCAAAAAGAAAACAGTTATTTTAAATTGTAATTACATTTCACAATATTATTGTTTTACTGTATTTTTCTTCTTTCAGAAACATTTAAAAAATCTTTTAAATTTTTATTATGCAAATTAAATCAAATTTCTTGTTTTTAATCTTTTCATTTTGGAGTAAACTTGGCCTGTTTTCTCACAATTTATTACTCTAAGCCAGTGGTCACCAACCCGTCGATCGCGAGACAGAAGGGAACTGTCTTGAGAAAAGTGTCGATGGCAATGGCATTTTCTTCTCCGTAACCAAGGAAACGCTATATTGCGGTCGGTGCAAACGCAGTGTTGCCAAGTCCGCGGTTTTCCCGCGGAATTGGGCTACTTTAACACTGTTGCCGCGGGTTGAAGCGACCCCAATAACGTGATATTTAGTCCCTGGAATGTGAATTTTACTGGAAGATCCCAGCCGAAAAACGTGTATTTTATCCCCCGGAATGCGAAATATTACGAAAACCTGGCAACCCTGTTCATAGGCGCCACCTGCTGTCAGAGAGTGCGTCTCATTCAAACCTGCTGTTTTTGTTTCGTGCAGATGTTTTATGTAGCAAATAAATAAATAACACCTAAAGTCAGACCATTCTGTTTTAGTTTTAAATCCTGAAATTAATCTAAATCAAATCAAAAACAACTGCCCGTGCAGATCATGATTAAAATGCAGTGGTTGCCTCTAATTTCAAATGGCTAGATATTTTTGTTTAAAGCCAGTTTGTTTGTTATAAAGCAAATAGCCAATAAATAAATTTGCTTAAAAATCAGTATCAGTATCAGAATCCAATTTGCTAGTAAAAAAAAAAAAGAAAGAAAGAAAAGAAAATCTGAATTCTGAATCAGCTATGAGCGCGTCATCACTAATTAAAATACTAAGTAAAAGGCCTAAAATTTGAAGTACAATCTGGGATGTCTTTTTCTATCAATTCTTCAATAGGTAGATCTTGTCTTTCATAAAGGCCGAGGTCAGGGATCTTGGGCCTAAAAAGGTTGGTGACCACTGCTTTAGACAAACATAAGATTTGTGTTTGTTGTGTTGAACGTTCTTCTCCTGTGTCCTATTCTTAATGCAATCTAGAATGGCCGCACAGAAGAAATGTTTCAGTGTTGCCAACTAATTTTCAGGGGAAGTTGCTAAAGGCTGGACAAATTGTTGCTAAAGTTGCTAAATGATATTGTGATGCCATTGCACAAATGCATCGTTATCTAATCACAACGCAAAACTGAATAGAATATACAATCAGATCACTCAAATCTCAGCAAAAATATGATTATGAATATGATTTGAAATGTTAATTTAGATGTGTTAGTGAAACTAAAATATAAATATAATAATATATATTTTTTAAATACAACATTGAATTATTGAACATTTACACATTTTTTTACGATTATAGTTTATGTAGGCCTATTTTCTTATTAACTAGTAAAACTACACATTCTGAATAATTATATTTTTAAGCAGTGGATTAGTTAGTATGCTACACTTCAAGAAAAGTCTGTAAAATAGGGCACAATGTACTGTGATAATTTATAGGAATTTTCTGTATTGATTTTTTACAGGTTTTTTAATGTCCTAGCAGAAAATTACCAGTAACTTTTCAATTTTTCTACAATATTTTTAAACTGATTAACAAGTGCAGGTACAAACTAATAACAAGGTGTTATCATAAATGAACAATTATTAATGAACAATTGCAACTCACATGATATGTGTCCTGCTAGACGATTTTTGTGTGTGTGTAATGCAGATAAAAATGATCGCCTTTTTATCATTTGAGTCACAGTTACTAAAAGTTGCCAAATAAATTTTAAAAATTGCTCAATTTGTTGCTAGGTGCTTTTTGAAGAAAAAAAGTTGCTAGGGTAGTCTGAAAAGTTAAATTGGCAACACTTGTGTTTGTTTGTGGTGCGCCCTCTACTGTACAGATGTGAATTTACATTTCCTTCAGCCAGAGGCTTATATTCATTTCGCTGTGTGAAAGTTGTGAAAGGTGCAAAAGGGCTTCACTAATTAAAATACTAAGTAAAAGGCCTCAAATTTGAAGTACAATCTGGGATGTCTTTTTCTATCAATTCTTCAATAGGTAGATCTTGTCGTTCATAAAGGCCGAGGTCAGGGATCTTGGGCCTAAAAAGTTTGGTGACCACTGCTCTAAGCACTTAGTTTAAATTGCATTAGATTTGTTTGAAAGGTGTTATATAAATAATGTTTGATTAACATTATTACATTCATCTAAAAATATTACTTAGTTTGAATCCGACTTCCTTGCTGTGGTTTAATTCATTAATAGCAATATAACACTAAGCTTGAACTTATAAAAAAAAGAAACCTGCACAGTAACATGAGGTTCATCTCACCAATGAAATAAATGCTCTGCTCCAGCACACTGTCCTGAACAGCATCATTTCCCACAATGCTCCTGACTGCACTGAGCACTTCCTGGTTGGCTGTGACCGCAGGAGCAGGAACTGAGATGTGCTGGTCTGGGACAGAGGTCAGGGAGGGCGGCAGCTGAGGTTTATCCAGTCGCAAACACAGATCCAACGTGTGCAGCCACCTCTGAATCTTATCCGACTGTTTGCCTGCGAGGACACAGGAACTGATCACAGCTGAAGTGTGATGGTTTATGGATGAAGAAAGAGAAAAAGTGGAGATACTAACCTTTCTCTAGGAGCTGGTCCAAAGTGTCCTTCTGTAGCAGTTTCTCCAGTGGGGTTTGGGGGAAGTGCTCCAGCAATCCCAGACAGTGGATGGCTTTCAATAGGTCTGTGGGAGACATCTTTGGAAGGTAGGACTCCAAGACCATTGTTACACTGGCCAGAAACCTAATTAAAAAGCAGCAAGTGCTAACAGTAAATATTCTGATAAAATATGGATTTGAATTGTCAAATGATGTGCAACATTTCAAAATCTTACCAACCCCAAACTTTTGAATGGTAAGTGTAAGTGATTAAGAATCAAAACAGCAGCTTACGGTGTTTTTTTCTCTTTCAGGTCGTGATTGAGGAGCGAAAAGACTTTTAAAACAGAAAGAAGGTCTTTCAGGGTCAGACTTTCGGATTTCTGAATGATTCTCTCTGCAAATGCATCCAACAAGACCACGGGTCTGAACAAAAGATTCTCAAATGTTACTAGAAAGAGAATCACCTGGAAAACATAAAAAACAAAACAAATTAATAAACAACAAAAAAACAATCCTGCACAGTTTACTGCACTGAAGCGGATTATGTAATTCATCATAGACCACTACTACTAATAATAAACACACCTTTCTGCTCTGACACTGTAATGTTTAAGGCAGGAATGCACCAATATATTCAGGCCAATAATAGCACATTATTTTTATTATGGCCAATAACTGAAATGATGGTTGATAATATGCATCGTTCAAAGGTTTTGGCAGCCAGGCTGGAGAACATGTACTGGGTGTTGGGTGGACTAAACCCATCTGCCAACGACAGAGCTTTGGTCTGAGGGAGAACAGATAAGCCACTACTTCATTCTGACATCTGTATATGTGGATTTATTTTACAAATGGCAATAAAGTCTTGAAGGGTGTTACAAACTCAGCATCATCATTTCTCCTTTGATAGCTGTATACAAGGGTGACATGTCATGTTTTTTTTTTCTTTTCAGTTCAAAATATAAGCAATTGTACTTTGCATAAATAAATAAATATTTAGCCATCATGGTCATAGAAAAAATGTAGGAGTAAAATACAACATAATATTGAGAATATAAAGTGAATTACAATACTAAGAATTTAAAATTAAAAAATTTTTTTATAAAGTTAATTAAAATGTAAAATTATTAATAAGAATTGTAACAAGAATATATACAGTCGTTAAAGGGATAGTTCACCCAAAAATGAAAATTAGCCCATTATTTACTCACCCTCAAGTCATCCTAGGTGTATATGACTTTCTTCTTTCACTTGTTTTTATCCTTTTGATTGGAGTAAATTAGACCTGGGCATGTTTTTATGAGCTTTAAATAAAGAAAATTAACTGAGACTCCATCAAATTGTACATTCGATACATTTTAGGTGATATACATAATAAATCAATTGTAATCTAACCGCCAGCTCATTCTTCAGAAGTATCGGAGAGTTTTTTCCCACCGCGCGCATCATGCTCTGCAGAACAAGCACATTCTGGATCTCAGGAATACGATCCTTCAGCAACAACCTTCCAAAATCAGAACACAAATGAATGAAAACATACACACAGATGTATCATTTCATATTTGGGCTGTAATCATTTTCAAACCTTAAAGCCTCTCTCAGGGCCTGAACGTTCCTACTGTTTTCCATCTCCCGAATACAGGAAGCCAACACCGAAAGAGACCTTATATCAAACTGATTCAGCCGCTCCTGGATGGGGCAAACAGAAAAAAAACAAGGTCAGTTCAGTAAATACTTCATAAACACATGAACTTAAATACAACAGAAATAAGATACACTGAATAAAAGTAGCAATATTAGCTGTTCTATTAGGAAGAAAGAATTACTTGAAACTGGATACTCTTAAAGGGATAGTTCAACCAAAAAAGAAAATTCTGTCATTAATTACTCTCATGTCCTCATGTCATTCCAAACCTGTAAGACCTTCGTTCAACTTCGGAACAAACGAAGATGTTTTTGATGGAATCTGAGAGCGCTCTGACCCTCCATAGACAGCAAGGATTTGGAATGACATGAGGATGAGTAATTAATGACAAAATTTTCATTTTTGGGTGAACTATCCCTTTAAGAATTGTCTAAACACAGACACAGAATTGTGAAAATTATGATTTAAAATATTAAAGTATATAAATGTTTTTTTATAATATGTAAAATAAGTATATGAAGAGTTCAGATGCAAAAGCCTCTAAGTGTAAACATTGATAATAATAAGAACCATTATTAACTGAGCACCAATAATAATTGAGCAGCAAATCAGATTATAAGATGTAAAAAATCTGAATTATTCCAAACTTTTTATAAATCTACTTATACAATCAAATATTTTATCTATTACAGCATCCATGATTGAGATTTAATGTGTGAATTAATGAATATGTGAAGATTGATATTTTCAGCAGAATACAAAACCTCCAAAGTGATCAGATTCTCAGGACTTCACTCACCTGTATGACACGCAGCAGCGTCTGCACAACACCTGTGTTTTGTGAAACTCCCAGGTTGACGATGGCCAGCAGACTGTAGGCCAGATCTTCGCTCCTCATGCGCCAGGCTTCAGTCACGGTGCGTTCACAGACCTCCTCAAACACCGGGTGCTCAAACATCAGCTGCAGCTCACAGCGCCGCTGCTCGTCCGTCATCCTCTTTGAGCTCTCCCACATGCGCGAGAAGATGCTGCTGAGGTGCTGATGCGACGCTGGGAACCGCTTCAACGTGTCCAGCACATCCGTGGGGCACGAAGAGTTCTGCAAATGCGTGTAGAAAGGAGTCCTTTCTGCTTTATCTGAGAGTTCGCTGGTCTCTGGAGAGGCAGCAGCTCGTTTAATCTGAACATTAAGAACTTCTTCTCCACTCTGACTGTAATACCGGATTTGTTTTAATGTGTGTCCTTGTGTGCTTTTTCTCCCCAGCTGAGATGACACAGCAAAGCCTCTGCTTTTATAACATAAAGACGTCTGTGTCCATATAAAAGAGTCACATTTCCACAGTGGCGTGGATCTCAGAGCACATCTGAGCATGTCCAAACCTGATTTATACATGCTCATGTTATCATCACAAAGCACAGGGTGATTCTCCAAAGCTTCAGACAAAGTTTAACCTGCTGCAACAAATGAAAAAGAAAAATAGAAACCTCTGTACTTACTACAGTTTGTGTTACTACTGTAAAATCATCATTAAAAAAAACAAATTATTTATTTTGGCTCAATTGTAGTGTATTTTGGCTGAAACTGATCTTACCGTTCATTCGTTTTATGTGCTCTCCGACAGGGTCACAGGTTGGATGCAAGTTCTTGATATTTCTAGAATCAGAAAAACACAGAATTAAATACGTACAGGTGCATCTCAATAAATTAGAATGTTGTGGAAAAGTTCATTTATTTCAGTAATTCAACTCAAATTGTGAAACTCGTGTATTAAATAAATTCAATGCACACAGACTGAAGTAGTTTAAGTCTTTGGTTCTTTTAATTGTGATGATTTTGGCTCACATTTAACAAAAACCCACCAATTCACTATCTCAACAAACTAGAAGATGGTGACATGCCATTCAGCTAATCAACTCAAAACACCTGCAAAGGTTTCCTGAGCCTCCAAAATGGTCTCTCAGTTTGGTTCACAAGGCTACACAATCATGGGGAAGACTGCTGATCTCACAGTTGTCCAGAAGACAATCATTGACACCCTCCACAAGGAGGGTAAGCCACAAACATTCACTGCCAAAGAAGCTGGCTGTTCACAGAGTGCCGTATCCAAGCATGTTAACAGAAAGTTGAGTGGAAGGAAAAAGTGTGGAAGAAAAAGATGCACAACCAACCGAGAGAACCGCAGCCTTATGAGGATTGTCAAGCAAAATCGATTCAAGAATTTGAGTGAACTTCACAAGGAATGGACTGAGGCTGGGGTCAAGGCATCAAGAGCCACCACACACAGACGTGTCAAGGAATTTGGCTACAGTTGTCATATTCCTCTTGTTAAGCCACTCCTGAACCAAAGACAACGTCAGAGGCGTCTTACCTGGGCTAAGGAGAAGAAGAACTGGACTGTTGCCCAGTGGTCCAAAGTCCTCTTTTCAGATGAGAGCAAGTTTTGTATTTCATTTGGAAACCAAGGTCCTAGAGTCTGGAGGAAGGGTGGAGAAGCTCATAGCCCAAGTTGCTTGAAGTCCAGTGTTAAGTTTCCACAGTCTGTGATGATTTGGGGTGCAATGTCATCTGCTGGTGTTGGTCCATTGTGTTTTTTGAAAACCAACATCACTGCACCCGTTTACCAAGAAATTTGGGAGCACTTCATGCTTCCTTCTGCTGACCAGCTTTTTGAAGATGCTGATTTCATTTTCCAGCAGGATTTGGCACCTGCCCACACTGCCAAAAGCACCAAAAGTTGGTTAAATGACCATGGTGTTGGTGTGCTTGACTGGCCAGCAAACTCACCAGACCTGAACCCCATAGAGAATCTATGGGCTATTGTCAAGAGGAAAATGAGAAACAAGAGACCAAAAAAATGCAGATGAGCTTTGTATGCACTTATCTGTATGCCCTGCTGCAAAGAAAATTAATTTCCTTATATATTAACAACCAATGTATTAAATTATTGATAATATACAGAATTTATATATATATATATATATATATAATGCCTTATTTGTTATTTTCAGCATGTTTCCGTATATTATTGTTTCGTAAGGGTGATTAGCCACAATACTTTTTGAACCATAATAAACAGACGCATTTACGCATTGAACAAGCTAAAAAGGTTTAAATTAGCAAAAGACATATACTAATTAATACATACATTTACTAATAAAGAGAGCATCCGCTTTGTGCTTATATTGTCCGCATGCCCTTGTACAGAATCCTTGAAGAAATGCGCCACTATAGCTATATAACCCATGCAGTGTTTACATGTTTGCGGTTAATTATGGCACAGGCATACATTTTAAGGATCTCGTAAACTTTAATAATCACAATGTAAGGATCTTACCCTTCATTTGCTCTCTTCACGTGTGCTGTGCAAAGCTCTCACTTTGAGCGCAGCCCTGACAGAAACAGCGAGCGCACGATTACTGCCTCACAATAGTTCCGCTTGTAGTATCCACAATATTATTTTTAAAAATGCTATAAAAATAGTTAAATAAACACCAGTATAACTTGTTTAATTCATGTAATATGTCAAATTTTATTTTTGGGCAATTTATAAAAACGCAGATTCAAAAACGAAATCCGAAATGTTTCCTCTGACGAGCCTCTTTATGCGGAACACACACTGTTACCTAGCAACTGCGGACGCGCTTGTGAATGGAAAAACATGGCAAAGCTTGTTCTCGCAGGTCTGTCTGTCTGTCTGGAAACTGTAAGCTGCATTTCAGCAGTTTTTTTTTTTTTCTAGCAAAACCCCTACAGTATTCCTACTACTTGTTTCACTTCTGTTTCATTTTTTATAACCCTTTCTTACTATGTGTCAGTAAGTTGTTGTTATTTTAGCATGTGCGTTTGGCTCAGTGTTATTTTTGTAGGATTACTGATAAACTAATGTAGTTTGATTTGTATTAGTTATAAATCATCAGAAATGATATATCAGTTGAAAACTTTAAATCTCAAAATTCATCCTTTGAAACCCATTTTAAAATCAAACATTGCAGTACCATGAAAATGGTACATCAATATCATGTTACAAAATGTTTTCGTTCATGAATTATACAAATTTAAGTTTGGAAAATGTCTCGTCTATGTTCAAAAATGTGAGTGACAGTTAAGGTGTTAATATTTTGAATTGTTTTTAGCTTTATTTTTTTGTTTTCATTTTGTTTACATTTCAGTTGTTGTATGCATTTGTCATTTTTATTTAATTTCTTTTATTTTCTTAAATGTGTATATATATATA